CCTCCTCCTCCTCCTCCTCCTCCAGGTGTTCAGGGGGCGGGCCTGGGGCGGGCCCTGTTTCTTCTGAACCCCAGCCCTCTTGCCCTGCCCAGGGCGAGGGTGCAACCACGAGCGGCTCGGAGCGCTGCGATGGGTCCGCCTCCTCTGCTTGGCGCAGGCGGCTGCGGCGGCGCAGGGCTGAAGCGCGAAGGTTCCTCCGCGGAGAGTCCGCGAGGGCCCTTTCCCGTGGGCATCACGGCGAATCGGTTTCAGGTATGGTAGGGCAGCAGCAGGGCAGAGGTCGCTCTTCCTCTCGCCAGCCGCCCCCTGCGAACATGTGGCGGTGCGAGCACGCTGGCTGTCGATGCATTACGAACTTGCTACATTGAACATGGTGCAAGCATTGCAGAAGAGCCAAGAGAGGTGGTAGGTTCCAGAACGCTCCATGGAATACAATTCGAACTGGCGGTGATGGCGTTGCTCCTGTGGCCAGTACTTCTGCCTCTCATCCAGAGTCAAGCTCCCTGTGCATCGGTGCGCTTGAAGCATTGGAACGTTTCGCCGAACAGAACGGAGATGAGGCCATGGCAAACAAGTATCGTGACGCCATTGATGGAAACAGAAGGCGCCACACTCCCAGCAGGAGCTCTCAGTGGAGGAGCTCAAGTCCATGGTACAGTTGCTGAGAAGAGTAGCGACACTGCCACAGCAAAGAAGTACAAAACGATTCACGAGAAGAAGCCGACAGTTCCCGTTCAGACCAGGGCGAATCAAGCTAACTCGAAGGTCCAGCAGCTCACCAAGTCACTTGGCTATGAGCAAGAGGTGTTGGCGGACCTCCTGGAGCAGGTCGAGACGCAGCGAGGCACGGTACATTCCTTGCTCGCAGGGCTGGAGGCGGCGGAGGTGGAGTACAAGGCTGCAGTGGCGGCGCTGGCTGCGGGCGCTGGTGCTGTGGGGCCGTGCTCGGCCAAGCCGAAGCTGTCGCTGGCAAAGTTCATGGACGGAGAGTTGGCGGATCTCGACCTGGACGACGAGGGCCTGTTCGGGTACGCAGAGTTCAAGGTGCTTGTGCCCGAAGCGCTGGAGGGGGCCAAGAAACGAAATAATGCCATGCTCGACCACTTCAGAAGCATGCTGACGCACTTCTTCGGCAGGAGGCAGGCCAGGAAGCTCTGTTCGGCTGCGTTCGTGTCGCTTCCGCCTGTCCGTTCTGGTGGTCTGTGCGTTTTTGCTATTCGGGCGAAGAGAACTCTGCAAATGCACCGATCCTGACAACGCACATCCTTGACCCAGGATCGGTGCATATACCTTCCTGGCCAAGGTGAGGGGGCGTGTGCACCGATCCTGGGCTCAGGATGGTCCTGGCCAGAACCGGTGTATGTGCATAGGTCCCTTTCCTCTAGCTGTGCGTCGTGTTTTTCCGTTCGCCGTCCGACTCTTCGACGGAGCCGGACTGATGGAACTCTCCACCCTGGCGCCCGTGCATGGGGCCTCGTTCGGCGACGCGCCCCCTTGCCACCTGCCACTGTCTTGTCCGTTCTCCTCCGAGGTACTGGCGTCGCGGGGCAAAAGCTGCGGCGGTGTCTTCCTCGTTCCATCCTGGGCCCTGGGGCTGCATCGGACCGATCCGGTCTCGGAGGATCCTACACGAGAGTAGGATCGAGCGATCTGGTAGTGGTTCTGTCGCGGTGCTGCTCTTTCTCACATCGGCGTCGTCGTCGTCGTCGTCGTCGTCGTCGTCGTCGTCGTCGTCGTCGTCGTCGTCGTCGTCGTCGTCGTCTCCCTCCTCTTCTTCCTCCTCCTTGCAGGAGGTCCCTGGAGGCCTCGGGGGGTCCTTCTGATCCGCCCCGTCTTCATCCTCGTCGTCGTCTTCACCCAGCCAGACCCAGGGCCCCCCTGGCAAGTTTCGCCGAGCCGCGTCCGGCCCTGGCGGCTGGACACCCCCAAGAGCGCCCAGAGCCGTAGAGAATAGCCCCTGGAGCTGCCCACGTGCGGGCGCCCTGGCCAGAGCTCGTGGGCGCACCCAACCGTGGCGACGACAGCGTCTGAACCCTCGTCGGTCGTCGTGCCGTCGTCGTCGTCCTCCTCCTCCTCCTCCTCCGCATTTTTGTGCTCGTCCTCGTCGTCATCGTCGTCGTCTTCGTCGTCGTCGTCGTCGTCGTCGTCGAGGTGACCCCGCTGGCGCGGGGCATGTGGAAGTTCGCGCCGCCCCCGCCGGGGCCAGCCAGCGGGGTACGCACGGCGGCGGGGACGGTGGCGCGCGGCGCGGCTTTCTGCTGGGGGAGGGAGGCCAGCATGGCGGCCTCTGCGTGGCGCCTCGAGGCAGGGAGGGAGGGGCAGAGGGGGGGAGAGGAAGAGGAGGAGGAGGAGAAGGAGGAACAGGTAATGACGGTGATGATGATGGTAACGATGATGATATGATGATGATGATGATGATGATGATGATGATGATGATGATGATGATGATGATGATGATCATGATGGTGATGATGGTGGTGGTCGTGATGATGCTGATGATGGTGATGATGATGATGATGCTCAGGATGATGATGACGATGATGATGCTGATACTGATGATGAGGATGATGATGATGATGATGATGATAATGGTGAGGGTGATGATGATGATGATGATTATGCTGGTGATGATGATTGTGATGATGATGCTGCTGATGATGTTGTTTTTGATGATGATGACCGGGCATATGGCGATTCTGATGATTATGATAATGATTGTGATGATGGTGGTGATGATGATGGCGATGAGGATGTTCAGGATGGGGAGGATGGTGACGATGATGATGTTGATGGTGGTGATCAAGATGGTGATGATAGTGATGGTGATGGTCATGGTGATGATGGTGGTGATGATGTTTGTGATGAAGATGCTGCTGATGACGATGTGAAGATGATGACGAAGATGCTGCTGATGATGCTGATGATGCTGATGATAATGCTGCTAATGATGCTGCTGCTGATGATGATGATGCTGCTGATCATAATAATTATGAGCATGATTGATATCATTGTTACTCTGGTTATTCGCATTATGAGTCGTAGCAGGATGATTATTCACTATGTTTTCGTATATGTATCCTTAGGTTTCTGTTCAATCGTATTTGTGTTAATATATTCATATTTTATCATATCATTCCCATCATCGTTATTGCTTTGGTTGTTTGTTTTTGTCGCTGTTTCCAGTATTAGTATGTTTATGTCTATATATGTTTACTATTGTTCTAGTTTTATTTATATTTATATTTATATTTTATTATGTCATGTGCTTATTATTTCCCATCCGTACGGGCTTCGCCCCCTGCCGCCACCATCCCCTCCATATTTGTATATATCAGAGTCGCGTTGGTGCGTCTCGGCGCTGCCTTGGCGCATCTGGGAACCTTATGCGGGGGCGGATAGGACATATCAGCGCATATTGGGACGTTGTCGTAATCGAAGACGCCTACGGCGAATCACCGCCGCCCCCTTCTTTTTTGGAGGCGCCTGCGTGGCCGAAAGTTGGGTTTGAGTTTGGCCAAGCTATCGGGCCACGCGTTCCCCGAGTGGGTTTCGAAAGCATACGGAGTCGGGCGAGCTATCGGACAAGGTGGTTTCCGAGCTTTCGGGCCTCCTGGAGGACGTCTTGGAGGGGTCTTGGGCCGTCTTGGAGGCCTCTGGTGGGCCTTTTGGGCAGTCTAAGGCCATTTTCAGGCCATATGGGGCCGTCCTGGTTGCACTGGGGGGCCATCTTCGCCGTCTTCGAGGCCTTCTTGGCTGTCTTTGAGGCATCTTGGAGGCCATCTTGGCCGTCTTGGAGGCCATCTTGGGCGTCTTGGAGGCCTCTTTGGCCGTCTTTGGGCCCTCTTTGGGCCGTCTTGGGGGCCTCTTGGATCGTCCTGGGGCCATCTTGGAGGCTTCTTAGGCACTCTTAGGGCGATCTTGATGACCTCTTGGGCCGTCTTGGGCCGTCGGAAGGCCAGAAAGGAGCAAACGCCAAGATCCTTCAAAAACCGAAGGAAACACATTTTTTTTGACCTCTTCGGGACGTCCTGGAGGAACTCTTCGAGGCTTCTTCGGCCGTCTTGGAGGCCTCTTGGAGGCCTCTTGGAGGCCTCTTGCGCCGTCTTGGGCCGTCTTAGGTGTTTCTTGTGCGAACTTGGCGGCATCTTGGACTCTCTAGGGCCGTCTTCGAGGCCATCTTGGACCATCTTGGACGAACTTGGAGGCCATCTTGAGCCATCTTGACCATCGTGGAGGCCATCTTGGAGCCGTCTGGAGCCGAAAAACCCTTTGCAACCACCTGTTGGGCATCTCCGGCTGGACGTGCCGAAACCCCAGGGGGAGCTCTTTTGGAAAAGAACCAAAACCAAAAGCGAAAGGGTCGAGCACGCCAGGCACTCCTACGATGAATCAACAGGGGGCGGCGGATTCTAGTGGCCTTGGGCCCATCCCGCTTCCGTGTCTGGGTTGTGGGTCTGAGGCCTCTTGTATATGTGTTGGGGTGTCGGGGGGGGCCCCTCGGGGGCCTCTTGGAGGCGGTTTCGGCGCCTGTTGGGGGCCTCTTGGGGCCTCGTGGGGTATCTTTTGGGCCTCTTGGATGCCTTTTTGGCGCGTCTTGGGCGTCTGTTGGGGCCCCTTGGGGCCTCCTGGGGTCTTCTCGGGGCTTCTTGGAGTGCTTCTTGGGCCATCTTGGAGCCTTCTCTGGCCGTCTTGGGGCCCTCTTGGAGGCGTCTTGGGCTGTCTGGGGGCGGTCTTGGGGGCTTCTTGAGCCATCTTGGAGCGTCGGAAAGCCGAAAATGCGAGAGCCCCGAACTCCTTCAAAAACCTTTGTAACGTCGACGATGTTGGCCTCTTGGGGCTCTCTCGGGAGGCCTCTTGGAGGGCTCTTGGGGCCTCTTGGGGCCCTCTTCGGCCGTCTTGGAACCATCTTCGGGCGCCTTGGAGCTTTCCTGGCCTCGGCAATACGAATATAGCGTACTTTGCAAGGGTTGATAGCCACGTGGACGCGACTATTCAATACTTTACGAAGGTGTGTTACCTCGGGAACGCGAGAATTTAGCAATTTACAAGGGTTTGTTGCCTCGGGGACGCGAACCTTGTTTAATCTACAAGAGATTCTGCCATCGGGGAAGCGATTATTTATTCATTTGCGAAGGTTTGTGGCTTCGGGGACGCGAGAATGGTATAATTTACGACGGATTGTTCTGGCTTCGGGGACGCGAGTATTATGTAATTTAGGATTCTCTTTTTGCCTCGGGGACGCGATGATGGAGCAGTTTGTGAGGGTCTGTTGCCTCGGGGCGCAAGAATTGTGTTATTCTGCGAGGGTGAATGGCCTCGGGGGCGCGAATATTGTAATGTACGAGAGTTTGTTGCCTCGGGGACGCAAACATTCTACAATTTGCGAGGTTTACTGGTCTCGGGGACGCGAATATTATATAATTCAAATGGGATCGTGGCCTTGGGGGCGCAGCTGTAGTGTAAATTATAGGGGATCGTGACCCCAGAGGCGCGACTGTAGTGTAATTTACTGGAGATCGTGGCCTCGGGGGCGCGAACCTGGTGTATTTTACGACGGATCGTGGCTTCGGGGACGCGATCGGGGAGCAATTTGCAAAATATCGTGGCCTCGGGGACGCGAACATTGTAATTTACGGATGGTTCTTGCGTCGGGAGCGCGAATGTTATGTATTTCTGCGTGTCCCACGGCCCCGCAGGAGCTCAGCCAACGCGTTTCGGGGAGGGTCGCCAGGCCCTGTTCGGCTCCCCCCCTCGCGCGGACTTCGACAATTTACAGCAGGAATGGGGAAACAAAAAGTGACATAAGCATAAAAGCTCGAAGTCCGCGCGGATTTCTCGGAGGCGCCGCCGGGGGGCCCCAGCGCCGATCCGAGAAATCCGCGCGGACCTCCGAGTTTTTATGTTTATGTCACTTTTTTCAGGAGCGGAAGAAGGACGTACATGTACATGAATCCACGCTGGTTTCGAGAGCACGCATTGCACAAATAATCGTATAACGCGGCCGGTCTCGCGAATCGAGGGGCCGTGTTCATGTACATAGCTGGGCGCGTACGTCCTGTGTGGGCTCCCTATTTTTGTTCCCCTAAGGAAGCAGAGCGCAGGACTGTAACATTGGATGCTGGAAACTGCAACGGGTACAGGGAGCAGCAGGCCCGACCCTCCCAGCCTCGTGGCCCCACACGGGGGCCAGCGGACTCTCGTCACGATGGTGATGGTGATGGTGATGGTGATGGTGTCTGTGAGTAGGGGGAGGAGGAGGAGGAGGAGGAGGAGGAGGAGGAGGAGGAGGAGGGAGGAGGAGGAGGAGGAGGAGGAGAGGAGGGGGAGGAGGAGGAGGAGGAGGAGGAGGAGGAGGAGGGAGGAGGAGGAGGAGGAGGAGGAGGAGCCTTCCTCAGTTCTTCACCGGGCACTGGCCGTTTTTGACAGTCCTTGGGCCTCGGGAGGCCCCCGGCGGCGTCCAGGGACCGCCAGCGGACTTCCGGAGACCTGCGCGCTCAGTTTGCCATGCGGACGCAGTTCAGGAGAGGAAAAAACACACAGATACAATTAATCCTCGATTCCCCAGAAAATATAGGAAAATATGGGATGTGGGGGGGAAGACAGAAACCCCGAACATTTTTTTTTTTTTTTTTTTTTTTTTTTTTTTTTTTTTTTTTTTTTTTTTTTTTTTTTTTTTTTTTTTTTTTAAAAAAAAAAAAAAAAAAAAAAAAAAAAAAAATATCTATTTGTGTGTCCTGGGACCCCTTCAGCAGTGCTTCACGAGGGGCGCTCTCGCTTCCAGGTTTGCCTCGGCCCACGCCCGGCCGGCGGCCTCCGCGGGGCGTTGCCGGCCCGCCGCCGCAGCGCCCGCCCGACCGCGCGGGCGTCTAAGGGGCCCCTGCGTTCTCACCCTGTGCCACTACCCCAGATTTCGTAATTAAAGGGAGGAGGTCACAACCCTCCCAGACGAGAAGTCTTAGACCCCCCCAGACCATCCGTGAAAGGGCGGCCCTTTGCCCAGACCCCCCCGAACCCCCCAAGACAGCTCAAATCAGACCCCCTCCCAAATGTGACCCCCCCACTTTATTTTGGAATCCGGAATACCACGGATCTTGGCGACAGGAGGGGTGCAGTCAGCCCGCGTAGTAAGGATGAGCAACCTCCCCAAGGGTGCCCTCGCGTCCCTGCCTCCTCGAGCCCTCCTTGGCCGCTTCGCTTTCGCTGGCCGCGCCCCGCTCGAAAAGCCTCGAAGCGGCCTTCCAAGGCCCTTGCAGCCTCATCGTGCGTCCTTACGATACGGGCTGACTGTATGGGGAGAGTGGGGAGGGGGACTGCGAAGATGGCTCGCGGGTCAGCAATTTGGACTTGCCCCTTTGCGCGCCCTGCCTCCAATGACGACGACCTGGGTGTCGGCGCCCCGGAAGCTGCAGGTTGGCGGGGGCCCTGAGATCCGACTCTGCGAACAAAGTTGCACCATCGATCAACATCGCGACCAGATCCCTGGACCTCAGCTTTCTGCGGCGCGTCCACTGTGAACAAAGCTGCAACGCCCGGATCTCAGGGACTCCACGTCGGTGAGCTCATACTAGCAGCGGGTGCAGTGCAGAGCTGTACGGCAGCTTCGTGCCGTGTCGACGCGTCGGCGACACCGCCGCGGGCATTCAAGGTTGAGCGCCGCCAGATTCCCAGACTCGCCCGATATGGAACGATTGGGCGATCGGTTGAACGATCCAGGCGGTGTCAGTAACCAACGCCGAAGTCGTCACGACACTAGCCCAAGCCCGCCCGAGTCAACCCGCCTCGCAAGCCTGGCTGCGATGCGTTGAGGGTCGCCCAGCTGCAGTTCATGGATTGGTTTGTTTTTTTCGCTGGTACGTTGCTAGACCGTGCCGCGAGCGCTCGATGGTGGCGGCGGAAATAGTCACTCTGCGATGCCCGCATGGGGAGGCGTAAGTCAACGAGGCCCGTTTTGCGCGGACCCTCGGTCAATCCGCCAGCGGGAGGCGACGCCGAACGAGCAGGAGGCGATCGAGAGGCCGGACGTTGTCGCGCGCTACCGATCCAGGAGATCGCGCCCTCTTTCGGGGCTCAAGGGACGGGGTCAATGCAGACAGGAGGGCAGTCAGAGCACCAGATTTTGCAGGACTTTGCAGAGCCAGGGGTGCATTCACCGAGGCTTGCGTGCAGGATTTTGTAGGATCCTTAAAAGATTATGCACGATCCTGCAAAGCACGACTGACCCGGGTCTGGATTGACCTGGGTCAGTGCAGCAGGTTCGCGTCGTGTCGACCGGCGGCGACCCCGCCGCCAGCGTTCAACGTTGAACGCTGCTGGCGACCCAGAATCGGCCGGTGTTGAACGAGCTGACTTTCTGGAAACGGCCGATCGTTCAAGGTTGAACGATCCCTGCGGTGTCAGGAATCAACGCCGGGGTCGACACGACACGGGCCTGCCGTAGATCCCCGACTCTGCGCCACCCTGGGGGGGTGCGCTGCGCGGCAGACGGTGACGCCGCACAGCTGACACATCCGATGTCTCCTCGACACTCGATCCTCGACCTCCGACGGCATACTTTGTTAAATTGCAGCGTTTTTCCCTCGTTTCGGCCCTGCCTCCTCCGCCTGAGTGCCACGCACATTCGTTTTAATGGACTGCAGCAGTTTCAAGGATGGAGGGCGGCTGTTTTTCAAAGTGTGGATCTCTCGCTCCAGCGCTGCGCTCATTCGTTTGAAAGTCCGCGACAGTTTTTGTACATGATTCGTACGGCTGAAGTCCCAGGAATGGTGCTCTGGCGCGTGTCGGGATTCTCAGGACGCAGCAGTCACGTCAATTCGCGGTGCTGTAGTCCAAGGAATGGTGTTCTGGCGTGGTTTATGAGTGTCAGGATGCAGCAGTCACGCTGATCCGCGGCGTTGAAGTCGTAGGAGTTGTGTTTTGGCACGGCGGATGATTCTGAGCTGGTTGTCTTCTAGTGGGCCACCCCCCGCATTGAAGATAAATTCTTGACGCTTCGCGTCAAGAATTTATCTTCAATGCGGGGTGCGTAAATTCTGGACCTTTTTTTTGCAGGCCTGGTGATGTCCGTTCCCACCTGCCCGGTCCGCCTCCCCGCGCAATACGCGGTCCCCTCCGTGCGGCGTCCACGACGCACACCCCTGGCCAGGCTCCCTGTTGCGTTGGCACTCCCTGGGCCCTGGTCTACAGTACTCGCCGCAGCCGCCCGTCTGGCGTCGACTTCGGGGTTTTGCGAGATGTGTCACGGAGTGGTGCAGCCTTCCAGCAGACACTGTGGATCCCCACTGGCGCCCTGTCACCGCATGTCCGGTTTGTACCCTGCCACAGCTGTGGCCCTGGCCTTGGGCGCCCTGTGGCGACATGGTCAGTTCGTACCTGGTCACTCATGCCCATGGTACCTGAGCTCGAATGCTTTGCTTCCAGCTCTTCGTTCCTGGTAGCGCGCCGCCCAGTGGGTTGGCCCGGCGGTGGAGGCGCTCCGCTAGTTTGATGCGTGGTTTGCAGACACAGAGCCGATCATGCTCTCCTGGCGTGCAGGACTTAATTCCACTCTTGCGTTTTGCAGCCTTTCTCCCGCATGTTGCATCTGCTACCCTGGCCTTCAGCAGGCAGCTCAGCCAGTTTCCCTTCAGCTGCAGCCCCACCGGCGGCTGCTTCTGAGTGCGGGCCCGGCCGCTTCGCTCTAGGCTCGCGCGTAGCTAATTTGGCAGGCCCGTGGCCCGGATCTCTCCTTCGGCGACTGCGTTTCCGCGTCCGCCCGCGACCCAAAAAAATAGCTCCCCAGTTTGCACGCTGGCAGTTCCACTCAGTTTCATTTTCTCCAGCCATCCACCTGCCGCTGGGCCGCTGCGTGAGGCCTCGGCTTGCCGCGTAGCTGTTGCCTTGCGCGTCGCCTCTGCCTAGTTAGTCTCTGCGTGGCCCGCTTGGGTCTGACTCGCCACTGGCGCGCTCGCCCGCGGCCGCTGTCTAAAAAATGCCCCCCCCCCCAGCGCTGCATTTTTTGTTTGTTTTATATATATATATATATATATATATATATATGCTCACACCCCCTCCCAAGATCTACCTTTCCCGTGCCCTGTTCCAGTCATCCCCTCCTCCTCATCTTCCCTTCTTCATCATTTTCTTACTTCCCCTCCGTTGTCCCCCCTCCTCATCGTTCCCACTTGCGTCGTTTGCCCGTGGCGAATAATGGAGCACAAGTGAAAACCATCTATTGCACGGGGTATTTGAAGTTACCAGCGCCCCCGAACTACAGCTGACGGAAGAGAAGAAGGGGCGTAACGCTCCAGATCACCTTGGGGCGAAATGCTCCAGCCAGATGCGGGGCGAAATGCTCCAGGGGGCGGAATGCTCCAAATCACGTAGGGGCGAAATGCTCCAGCCAGATACGGGGCGAAATGCTCCAAGGGGCGTAATGCTCCAGATCACGTGGGGGCGAAATGCTCCAGATCACGCGGGGGCGAGATGCTCCAGCCAGATACGGGGCGAAATGCTCCAGGGGGCGTAAAGCTCACACCAGTCGGAGGCAAAACAATTCCAGGCCAACG